GGCTTACACAGTTTCGGGCCAATACACAAAATGTCAGTCAATACCTGGTGTGACCCCCCATTAGCATTGATCACTGCCACACATCTCCTGTACTTTGAGTGGATCAGACGATTTGTCGAGGCCCTAAGGATCCTCCTGCACACACCCAGAGCAGCTGTGGGTAGTTCATCGGCAGTTGTAGGGACTGGGCGCACATTGTGCAGACGCCTTTGAACCTCATCCCACAAGTTTTCTATGGGGTTCAGATCAGGGCTGAGGACTGGCCACGGTAGAGCACGGATGTTGTTGCAGAAAGGCCATGGTAGCTCTGGCAACATGGGGACGAGCGTTGTCCTACTGGAAAATGTGTTGTTGATGTTGTGCAAAAAATGGAACAACGTGGGGTCTGATCACATGGTCGATATACCGCTGAGCAGTGACACCGTGTTCCCGACCTTGACCAACATTCAGAAAGCACATTGGTCCAAGTCTCGCATTAAGTTCAATCCCTGCCCTTATCATGACGCTAGGTCCACCCCATGGATACCTTTCCACAACGTTTCTGTCAGCGAAACAATCACCTCGACGCCGTCAAATTCTGACTCTTCCGTCTGCATGGGAGACACAAAAGCGACTTTCATCAGAGAAGATGACACGCCTCCACTCACGATGAAGCCAATTGCGATGACCCTGTGCCCACTGAAGTCATGCTTGTCGATGCAGTGGTTGGAGAACAGGACGATGTGCTGGTCGGCAACATCTGAGGTTGTTGGAACGAAGAGGTCGCATCACAGTGTCCCGGCTAATGTGTCAATTATGTGTTCCTATTGTCTGTCGAGCACTTTCACTTGCAGTTAGGAATGGATGTCGCTGGTGTTGACGGGTCATCTGCCGATCTTGTCGAGGTGTGGTGACCCTAGCACGGCCGCTCCGAGGAAGGTCATCTGTGGTCAGTGTAGCATTGTATCGATGCAGGAGACGGTAAATTGTGGTTATGTTAATGTTGAAATGATGCGCAACATCTTGGACAGACTCTCCAGCTTCCAAACGTCCGATAGCCTGGTTTCTCTGAATTGGAGTTAGGCGTGGCATTGTTGACCAAGGAGTGGTAGGCCCAAGAATCGTCACAGTTTTATACACACTACAGTTTGTGACAGTTCGTGCATTTTCGAGTTCGCGAGAAATGGGTGCATGATACCCACATATTCATTGAAATGGTGCGTTTTAGCCATTCGTTTTTTATGTTGCGTTTTTACTCGGGGCTTCCAAAATGCAACCAAAAATATTGATGACACCATCAGGCTTCACTAGTACTACATGCTAAAACTCGTATCAATTTATGGTTCCGTGTTTGATACCTGTTTGCTTAAAACCACTTGCATTTCTTTTGTGTGTGAGTATATTTCTCACAAGGATCCAGATTTATTTTTAGATGGTACTCCAATCAAGGTAGTAGAGGAGGCTGGGCCTCATATTTGACCGTCATCTCACAATCTTACTACACATCAAATATCTAAAGGCAAAGTCCCTGAAGGCCCTCGACTTGTTAAAAGTTGTTTAAAATTCCGAGTGGGGAGGGGATCAGACAACCCTTTTTCACTTGTACTGATCGTTAATACGCTCCAAACTAGACTATGGTTCCATTAAAAAGCAATTTAGAAAATAAGACACAATACACCATCTAAGGCTCTGTCTTGCAGCTTTTAGGACCTCTCCCGAGGACAGTTTGTATAAGGAGGATGATGAACCTTCTCTTGAACAGTGAATAAATCAAATCCAGCACACAGTTGCGTTTTTTCACCTCAATTGGAAAACCAGTTTCTGAATCTGTCCAACTTGGTTCCACCACTTGAAATAAAAATTCAACCACACATCACTGCAGCTGAAATAGATCTAAATACTGTAAATCCTGAAATTAACGCGAGTGTGAGTTAAATGCGAAAAATGCGAATGTTCTATGCTTGCATTATTAAACATCGCATTTATATCAATAATAAGACATATTGAATAACAGATATACCAATTTAGACATACGCTGAAAACAAACAACTATGTATTCCATGTCACTGGTTTTTTAGCGGCACATGTAAGAAGTATATAAACAATGTCATTCAAACACTAATTACATCCTGTGAATTGTCACTTCTGGGGTCAAGACAAGAGTTCTACTCACTTATGTTATCACTGATCACACCTGCACGTCCAGACAGACACCACCCACGCAATATCGTGTCTTTGTTCTTTGCGACTGCATCAAAGGCCGACACGATCCAGCGCGCTGTGTTGTTTTAGCGGAGGTACTCTACTGAGTGCTAATAAGCAGTGCTATTTTGTGTGTGATTGGATCAATGAAAGGTTGGATTAAGGTGAGGATTCTCCTGCAAACATGACAGAGGACATTTTCTTTATATATAAATCCACTGATGCTTAAGAGGAGGGGGTATCGCATTCACATGGAATCGCATTTTTGGCTATGGGCCATTAATTTCCCGATTTACAGTATTATATCACCCTTCCCACTTCTGTCTTCTCTCCCTGGCAGATGGTGAAGCCAGAAGTAGACCTCACTCTATCTCAGCTAAAAAAGTTAGAATCAAATCCTTTAGTATATCAACAATCATATAACCAATTATGATCAAAATATAATTCTCACAAATCCATTTTTACAGACGGTGCAAGTGCCACCATCATTGGATCCAGAACTGTCTCCTCAAGAATCCCAAATAGTAGTTCAGTCTTCACTGCTAAGGCCAAAGCTATCTTAACAGCTTTGACTTATATTAAACATCAAAAACAATCTAAAATTTCATCATCTTCTCTTACTCGTTGTCTTGCCTTCAGGCACTTAAAATTGTCTCACCATATCACCCTATTATCCTAAACATTTTAGAACTATATAGTGATCTTTCTACTGGCCAATGTGACATCGTCTTTGCTGGTTGCCGATTACATGTAGGCATAACAGGTAACTCGAAAGCTGATGCTGCAGCTGGCGCAGCTCTTGACAAACCGTTTTCTCCACTACTGATCCCGTACAGCGATTTCAGACCAACTATCAAAAGTTATACTCGGGATCTTATACAAAAAAGGTGGGACACCCAGTTAGGAATCAATAACCTTCATGAATTTAAACCAACAATCGGTCATGCCTACTTGGGTTGTCAGTCAAGACATGACAAGGTCTTTTTTTGACGAGGTCATTTAATGAAGATGTCGTATTGGTCACAGTATCTGTTTATCCATAAATATATGCTTGAGACTGATGAGGACGAACCTCCTAAGTGTTTCCCTTGTGATGAAAGGTTCACCGTCAAGCATATATTGCTTAACCGTGTGGACTTTGCAGTCACAAGGGATTAACATTGTCAAACAGTAAATCTGAAAGATCTTTTTTCCTGCGTTAGCAGGCATCAAATTCTCAGCTACTTTTAAAATATGTATGTGAATAATTAATTGCTTGTTTTTAAATTTGGTGTGATGCTATTGTCAACTGACATTATTAAAGGCTCTGTCCAGGAGGTTAAAGTACTGTAAGATAATTGTCCCCCCATCTGTGTAACACGTAATTCCTATCACAGTCAATGTAACTACCATCAACCAGTATGATCCCCAGCAAGGTGGCGTAGCGAGGTGGCCCAGCGAGGTGGCCTAGCGAGGTGGCCCAGCGAGGTGGCATAGCGAGGTGGCCCAGCGAGGTGGCCCAGCGAGGTGGCCCAGCGAGGTGGCCTAGCGAGGTGGCCCAGCGAGGTGGCCCAGCCAGGTGGCCCAGCGAGGTGGCCCAGCGAGGTGGCATAGCATGGTGGCGTAGCGAGGTGGCGTAGCGAGGTGGCCCAGCGAGGTGGCCCAGCGAGGTGGCCCAGCGAGGTGGCCCAGCGAGGTGGCCCAGCGAGGTGGCGTAGCGAGGTGGCGTAGCGAGGTGGCCCAGAGCGGTGGCGTAGCGAGGTGGCCCAGCGAGGTGGCGTAGCGAGGTGGCCCAGCGAGGTGGCGTAGCGAGGTGGCATAGCGAGGTGGCCCAGCGAGGTGGCCTAGCGAGGTGGCCTAGCTTTGGTTACTGGTGGCCTGTAGCCCGTGTTTTAAAACTCTGTAAATGATATTGTTATGTCCAAATATATTTGATAAAAAAATTTGAAATATAACTTTGTATTCATGAATAAATTGTGTATATATCAACTTTGTCTCGTCGCTATATGGCTGAAATAATGCCGATGCGACAATGAATTTTAACTGACTCACTCACCATGTGTGAAGCACATTTCTGGTGTCCCCCTCCGAGATATTGCGTGAAGAAGCGCTCACTCACTGACTTCATTGATAATAACTGGATTGTCTGGTCCAGACTATTATTTACAGACCGTTTTTCTATTGCTCGAATATTGCTCAGTGTGGCGTTAAACAACAAACTAAATAGAGAGGATCACTGTAAGTAGGTCAAGTTGGTAAAGGTCAGGTTGGTAAAGGTCAGGTTGGTAAAGGTCCTGCTGGTAAAGGTCAGGTTGGTAAGAGGGGATCACTGTAAGTCAAGGTCAAGTTGGTAAAGGTCAGGTTGGTAAAGGTCAGGCTGGTAAAGGTCAGGTTGGTAAAGGTCATGTTGGTAAGAGGGGATCACTGTAAGTCAAGGTCAGGTTGGTAAAGGTCAGGCTGGTAAAGGTCAGGTTGCTAGGAGGGGATCATGGTAAGTCAAGGTCAAGTTGGTAAAGGTCAGGTTGGTAAAGGTCAGGATGGTAAAGGTCAGGTTGGTATGAGGGGATCACGGTAAGTCAAGGTCAAGTTGGTAAAGGTCATGTTTGTAAAAGGGGATCACCGTAAGTCAAGGTCAAGTTGGTAAAGGTCAGATTGACAAGTGGGGATCACCGTAAGCCATTTTCGTAAGGGTCTGGTTGGTATTTACTGCTTTAGTTTGCAGTTAAAAAATTAATTCTTCAACTCTAAGTTTATGAGAAAATAAATATGTCTTTATGGGGAAGTTGTACGTCTTTTACACAGAAATAACAACCCCCGTCTAAGGTGGACAAATGTTGCAGGTGCTGGGTGAGATGAGGATGGGACTGGGGACCCAGAAACCGTCGCGAGTCCTGGCTGCCCTGTGTAGCCCCCTCCCCCGGGCGGCTGACGCCCACCTACACGGGCTGGTCTTCTCCTCCCTCATCAACCTGGTGGTCAAGGGTGTGGTGGATGCCGGCGCAGTAAGGGACTGGTTCGGCTTCAACAAATACACCTTCACTCAGCCACAGCTTCAGCAGGTCAGTGGTATATTTCTGCCATGTGGTACTAGCGTATATAATGCTGCAACATGGTGCTGGTGTATGTGACGCTGCCACGTGGTACTGGTGTGTGTGAGGCTGCCACGTAGTACTGGTGTATATATTCCTGCCAAGTGGTACTGGTGTATGTGAGGCAGCCACGTGGTACTGGTGTATGTGACGCTGCCACGTGGTACTGGTGTATATATTCCTGCCACATAGTACTGGTGTATGTAAGGCAGCCACATGGTACTGGTGTATGTGAGGCAGCCACTTGGTACTGGTGTATATATTCCTGCCACATAGTACTGGTGTATGTGAGGCAGCCACGTGGTACTGGTGTATGTGAGGCAGCCACGTAGTACTGGTGTATGTGAGGCAGCCACGTAGTACTGGTGTATATATTCCTGCCACGTGGTCCTGGTGTATGTGAGGCAGCCACGTGGTACTGGTGTATGTGAGGCAGCCACATGGTACTGGTGTATATATTCCTGCCACGTGGTACTGGTGTATGTGAGGCAGCCACGTAGTACTGGTGTATGTGAGGCAGCCACATAGTACTGGTGTATATATTCCTGCCATGTGGTACTGGTGTATGTGACGCTGCCACGTGGTACTGGTGTATGTGAGGCAGCCACCTAGTACTGGTGTATGTGAGGCAGCCACATGGTACTGGTGTATATATTCCTGCCACGTGGTACTGGTGTATGTGAGGCAGCCACGTGGTACTGGTGTATGTGAGGCAGCCACGTAGTACTGGTGTATGTGAGGCAGCCACGTAGTACTGGTGTATATATTCCTGCCACGTGGTCCTGGTGTATGTGAGGCAGCCACGTGGTACTTGTGTATGTGAGGCAGCCACATGGTACTGGTGTATATATTCCTGCCACGTGGTACTGGTGTATGTGAGGCAGCCACGTAGTACTGGTGTATGTGAGGCAGCCACATAGTACTGGTGTATATATTCCTGCCACGTGGTACTGGTGTATGTGACGCTGCCACGTGGTACTGGTGTATGTGAGGCAGCCACATGGTACTGGTGTATATATTCCTGCCACGTGGTACTGGTGTATGTGAGGCAGCCACGTAGTACTGGTGTATGTGAGGCAGCCACATGGTACTGGTGTATATATTCCTGCCACGTGGTACTGGTGTATGTGAGGCAGCCACGTAGTACTGGTGTATGTGAGGCAGCCACATGGTACTTGTGTATATATTCCTGCCACGTGGTACTGGTGTATGTGAGGCAGCCATGTAGTACTGGTGTATGTGAGGCAGCCACATGGTACTGGTGTATATATTCCTGCCATGTGGTACTGGCGTATGTGATGTTGCCTATAGTACTTATGTATGTGATGTTGCCACGTACTACTGACGTAAATATAACGTTGCCACATAGTATTGGCTAGGGCTGGGACGATATACCAACTGCGCAATTCGATACTTATCATGATACCTTGCCAGATACCTGGCACACTAACAATGTACATTTGGCAGTGTAAATTATGGCACAATGGATGATTCAAGTGGGATTCAAGCAATTACTATGAGTCAGGATAAGGTGTGTATTTTTTAGGATATTTATCTGTACTTATCCCGACTCATACACTATAGCGACCACCCAGCCATCCCTGCTTCCAGTATGTGTGTTTCGACCGTAAGGGTAAGTGAAATGAGAGAGTGACGAGTGTACCGGCTTGTCACATGCTTACTGTGCGACTTGGAGGCTGAGGGGTGTGTTCAGGTGCAATGTTTTTCTCTGTTCTTGGGAACACAGTACAATAATTTCCACTACCTTTTCAGAATGAGATGAGATATGCAAAAAGTATGACTCAAGATAACTATAAATGATATTTTTACCTTAATAATACATGTTGCCACATTGTACTGGTGTATATATACTGTTGCCACATAGTACTGGTGTATACATAATGTTGCCACATTGTACTGGTGTATATATAATGTTGCCACATAGTACTGGTGTATATATAATGTTGCCACATTGTACTGGTGTATATATAATGTTGCCACATTGTACTGGTGTATATATAATGTTGCCACATAGTACTGGTGTATATATAATGTTGCCACATAGTATGGGTGTATATATAATGTTGCCACATTGTACTGGTGTATATATAATATTGCCACATAGTACTGGTGTATATATAATGTTGCCACATTGTACTGGTGTATATATCATGTTGCCACATAGTACGGGTGTATATATAATGTTGCCACATAGTACGGGTGTATATATAATGTTGCCACATAGTACTGGTGTATATATAATGTTGCCACATAGTACTGGTGTATATATAATGTTCCCACATGGTACTGGTGTATATATAATGTTGCCACATAGTACTGGTGTATATATAATGTTGCCACATTGTACTGGTGTATATATCATGTTGCCACATAGTACGGGTGTATATATAATGTTGCCACATAGTGCTGGTGTATATATAATGTTGCCACATTGTACTCTTGTATATATCATGTTGCCACATAGTACTGGTGTATATATAATGTTGCCACATAGTACTGGTGTATATATAATGTTGCCACATTGTACTAGGTTTTACAATTAAAGACGTTACTACTGACACATCTGTTTCTGACTGCAGAAGTTCCAAGAAGTGCAGGTCCTTGTAGCACAACCAGAGAAGTCAAGAAAAATCTGCATCTCCCAAAATGGAGGGAGGGTGAAAAAGGTATATGTGAAGCCATGCATCATCATCTGTATTCCTTTAAACAAATACAGCGGCTATGCAGTTGCAGTAGTGACATGTGTATATTCCTGCAGAGGAGTCATATGTATGGAAAGGTGGTTGTGCAACACTACAGAGTAGTTGTATGAGAGCGTAGGCAAGGCTGACTCAGTAACTCATGTGCCGTGATAGACTGGTTAGCACAGAGGAACGCCTGACTCACAGACTCATGTGCTGTGATAGACTGGCATACTGGTTAGAGCAGAGGAACGCCTGACTCACAGACTCATGTGTTATTTTATATGCTATTTTCCAGTTGGACTTTACCCTGTCATTCCTTGATGACTATGTCTGTGCGTCCCTGGAGTCCAATGACGCCTCACCCTACAAGCCTCTAGGGGTCCGCATGACGACTTCCAGACCGACTGAAGGTAAGATTAAAGGCCCTAATGACGACTTCCAGACCGACTGAAGGTCAGATTAAAGGTCCGCATGACGACTTCCAGACCCACTAAAGGTCAGATAAAAGGTCTGCATGACGACTTCCAGACCCACTAAAGGACAGATTAAAGGTCTGCATGACGACTTCCAGACCGACTGAAGGTCAGATTAAAGGTCTGCATGACGACTTCCAGACCGACTGAAGGTCAGATTAAAGGTCCGCATGACGACTTCCAGACCCACTAAAGGTCAGATTAAAGGTCCACATGACGACTTCCAGACCCACTAAAGGACAGATTAAAGGTCTGCATGACGACTTCCAGACCGACTGAAGGTCAGATTAAAGGTCTGCATGACGACTTCCAGACCGACTGAAGGTAAGATTAAGGGTCCGCATGACGACTTCCAGACCGACTGAAGGTCAGATTAAAGGTCTGCATGACGACTTCCAGACCTACTGAAGGTAAGACTAAGGGTCCGCATGACGACTTCCAGACCGACTGAAGGTCAGATTAAAGGTGCGCATGACGACTTCCAGACCTACTGAAGGTAAGACTAAGGGTCCGCATGACGACGTCCAGACCTACTGAAGGTAAGACTAAGGGTCCGCATGACGACGTCCAGACCTACTGAAGGTAAGACTAAGGGTCCGCATTACGACTTCCAGACCTACTGAAGGTAAGACAAAGGGTCCGCATGACGACTTCCAGACCTACTGAAGATCAGATTAAAGGGGCACTGATCTAAAGCAATTCCCCGGGACTGGTTGTTGCCTTTGTTATTGTTTTTTCCCGTGAGTACCCGGATGATATAGCAGAAACCTAGACTAGTTCGCAACCTGTGCTGCGCAATTCATAAGCGCATTCGTCACTTTTATTGATAGTATAAAGGCGTATGGTCACATTGATCAACAAAATGAAATACAGGTTGGGAAATAATAAGGAAAGGTGGGTATCTTTGTGGGTAGCATCGGTAATGGTGACAAAGTTTTGATAAGTCACTTGCTTGGTAATTGTGCGATTTTCTTGTAAACTATTTTGACTTGCAACACAAAGTAAATATTTCTCCTGAGCATTGCTTATTTTATCCTGTTTATATTTTTACAGTCAAAATGTGCAAAATTTTCACTTCGGAAATTTATTAAACGCCTGAATATTCAGTAATTTTACAAATTGACTGAAAAACATGTCCATCTGTATTATTATGACAACAAATTCCAAACATTTTTATGTTTAATATCATCACCAAGAGACTGAAAATGTTACGATGAAAAGTCCATTTCTATATTGTTTGGCTTCTAATCCTACATAATAATTTATTGTGATGTTTTTAGGCCCTATTGATCATCTTAATCAATTTTGGTCAATCTGTTAAAGAAATGGACAGATTTTTTAGTCAAAATGACTAAAATATTTACACATTTTATAAATTGCCTGAGAGAATCACATTTTACAAATTCAGCTGTAATATGCAAAGGAAAAGACTTGTGAAAACAACGTCTATCGCGCATCGAAGAATTTCCCAACCAAGACGTAGAGGAACAAGAATGATTCTGTCCAATGCTACTGCAAATCAAGGAAAACAATATGTGAATATCATAATTACAACCTACCAAATTTATGTGTATAATTTTAAGCAGCTTCCTTGTTCGAGGAATGTATTTGTGAATATCCACACAAAGGAACAATATCCCAAACGTCTGCAGGTGTACAAAGACACATATTCGATGTCACGTGTCTCTGTAACAATCAAATATTTTAAAATATGTATATCGTTTCGGGATATTTATAACCCGTGTTCGTTTCTCAACTGATCACTTGGATTGTTTCAGGTGTTTCACATAGGTGTCAAGTCTCAAAGGTCGGCTGAGAAAGCCCATGTGACAACTATTTTCATAACGTCCACGGTGCCTAAAATAATCCGTTGAGTTAGATAACAATGAGCAATTAATCGACGTATTATCGGTTAACCCTTTGAACAAAGTATGTTGTTTTTACATCGGCACTTCACACAAGGATATGAGTGTATGCCCTTTGTTTTTGTAAACCTAGACATGTAAACACTCACTTTTGAGATATCCACCGTGCAAGATAACAGTGATTAATCAATCAATGTATTTTCTGTTTATGCTTTGATGACTACAGACGATCCTCTGATTTACCAAAAAAGTAAATCAGCTGATCATTCATCTCTTGCTGGGCTGCCACGTGCATATTACATAACACACATTTCACCTCACTTCAAACCTGGATTTAGATTGAATAATTACCCCAGACACAATAAATGCCAAATGGGAACCTTTCGTCAGGTATTCGGAGTGGGGCTACCACTAATTATACCTGTAATAAATTCATTAACTGAGCTTCAAGTGAATCACGACAAATACACAAGTGTAGGGTTATACCAGAAAACTTGGATGACAAGGGAGTAGTAATCGTATTATCGACGCAATCCGAAATCCGAAAATGCTTTCACTGCATGGATACTTTTTTTTAAACTTTAACAATCAGGGGTATTTCCAAATGACAACCGATGAGCCCCAGTGTTCTTTTTGTCTGTTTGTTTAGGCTGAAGAAATTAATTAACATGCGCCTTTTGTCGAAATCTTTATAGATCACGGTTAACCAATCAGTGTTCAAAAATGGGTAAAACAAATATTGCCTCCAAATTTATTTAGCTGTCCTTGCAGACGGTAGCCTAGTCTCTGGTCACGCTCAGTTGCGTTGCGTATCATCCGGGTAGTCACAGGGAAAAAACAATAACAAACGATACAACCAGTCCAGGGGAATTGCTTTAGATCAGTGCCCCTTTAAAGGTCCGCATGAGGACTTCCAGACCTACTGAAGGTCAGATTAAAGGTCTGCATGACGACTTCCAGACCTACTGAAGGTAAGACGAGGGGTCCACATGACGACTTCCAGACCTACTCAAAGTCAGATTAAAGGTCTGCACGACGACTTCCAGACCTACTGAAGGTCAGATTAAAGGTCTGCATGACGACTTCCAGACCTACTGAAGGTAAGACGAGGGGTCCACATGACAACTTCCAGACCTACTCAAAGTCAGATTAAAGGTCTGCACGACGACTTCCAGACCTACTGAAGGTCAGATTAAAGGTCTGCATGACGACTTCCAGACCTACTGAAGGTAAGACGAGGGGTCCACATGACGACTTCCAGACCTACTGAAGGTCAGATTAAAGGTCTGCATGACGACTTCCAGACCTACTGAAGATCAGATTAAAGGTCTGAATGACAACTTCCAGACCTACTGAAGGTAAGATGAAGGGTCCGCATGAAGACTTCCAGACCTACTGAGGGTCAGATTAAAGGTCTGCATGACGACTTCCAGACCTACTGAAGGTAAGACGAAGGGTCCGCATGACGACTTCCAGACCTACTGAGGGTCAGATTAAAGGTCTGCATGACGACTTCCAGACCTACTGAGGGTCAGATTAAAGGTCTGCACGATGACTTCCAGACCTACTGAAGGTCAGATTAAAGGTCTGCATGACGACTTCCAGACCTACTGAAGGTAAGACGAAGGGTCCGCATGACGACTTCCAGACCTACTGAGGGTCAGATTAAAGGTCTGCATGACGGCTTCCAGACCTACTGGGGGTCAGATTAAAGGTCTGCATGACGATTTCCAGACCTACTGAAGGTAAGACGAAGGGTCCGCATGAAGACTTCCAGACCTACTGAGGGTCAGATTAAAGGTCTGCATGACGACTTCCAGACCTACTGAGGGTCAGATTAAAGGTCTGCACGATGACTTCCAGACCTACTGAAGGTCAGATTAAAGGTCTGCATGACGACTTCCAGACCTACTGAAGGTAAGACGAAGGGTCCGCATGACGACTTCCAGACCTACTGAGGGTCAGATTAAAGGTCTGCATGACGGCTTCCAGACCTACTGGGGGTCAGATTAAAGGTCTGCATGACGATTTCCAGACCTACTGAAGGTAAGACGAAGGGTCCGCATGAAGACTTCCAGACCTACTGAGGGTCAGATTAAAGGTCTGCATGACGACTTCCAGACCTACTGGGGGTCAGATTAAAGGTCTGCATGACGACTTCCAGACCTACTGAAGGTAAGACGAAGGGTCCGCATGACGACTTCCAGACCTACTGAGGGTCAGATTAAAGGTGCGCATGACGACTTCCAGACCTACTGAAGGTCAGATTAAAGGTCTGCATGACGACTTCCAGACCTACTGAAGGTAAGACGAAGGGTCCGCATGACGACTTCCAGACCTACTGAGGGTCAGATTAAAGGTCTGCATGACGACTTCCAGACCTACTGGGGGTCAGATTAAAGGTCTGCATGACGATTTCCAGACCTACTGAAGGTAAGACGAAGGGTCCGCATGAAGACTTCCAGACCTACTGAGGGTCAGATTAAAGGTCTGCATGACGACTTCCAGACCTACTGGGGGTCAGATTAAAGGTCTGCATGACGACTTCCAGACCTACTGAGGGTCAGATTAAAGGTCTGCATGACGACTTCCAGACCTACTGGGGGTCAGATTAAAGGTCTGCATGACGACTTCCAGACCTACTGAAGGTAAGACGAAGGGTCCGCATGAAGACTTCCAGACCTACTGAGGGTCAGATTAAAGGTCTGCATGACGACTTCCAGACCTACTGAGGGTCAGATTAAAGGTCTGCATGACGACTTCCAGACCTACTGAAGGTCAGATTAAAGGTCTGCATGACGACTTCCAGACCTACTGAAGGTCAGATAAAAGGTCAGCAGGTGCAGCCCTGACAGGGATCCCAATGGGACTGACAGGTCAGAGCTAAAGCCCTGATGTCTGTGCTTTCATATGACTTGGTTGATAACGTGTCAATGTGCCTTAACGGCATGGATTGTTGCTCATAATATCAATCACTGTATTGTCTTTTCAAGATTCAATTGTATCCTGGACACCGTCATGTCTGGCTGGAATATTGCTGAGTGCAGTGTTCCACAAAAAACAAATCATGGGTATCAGTAGGACGTTGACTGTATTTAGGAATGTTTTTGTTTCTCTGCCAGATGCTACCTCCGATTCAGAAGAAGGGTACAGCGCCCTCTACCATGGCATTGTCTCCCCTGCCAAGTATGACTCCCCCAGGTCCTCACAGAGGGAAGACAGCTTCACTTCCAATCTGTCAGAGGGATCAGAGAAAACAGGGTGAGAGACAGCAGGACCACGGAAGTTCACTGATGCTGGCCCCAGGGTCACGATCCACAAAGCAAAGATAGTGCTGTGACTACCATAACTCCCATTATATAGCACAGTCTTCCAGTTGTAACTCCCATTATATAACATAGTCTTCCAGTCATAACTCCCATTATATAACACAGTCTTCCAGTGGTAACTCCCTTTATATAACATAGTCTTCCAGTTGTAACTCCCTTTATATAACACAGTCTTCCAGTGATAACTCCCATTATATAACATAGTCTTCCAGTTGTAACTCCCTTTATATAGCACAGTCTTCCAGTTGTAACTCCCATTATATAACATAGTCTTCCAGTCATAACTCCCATTATATAACACAGTCTTCCAGTGGTAACTCCCTTTATATGACACAGTCTTCCAGTGATAACTCCCATTATATAACATAGTCTTCCAGTGGTAACTCCCTTTATATAACATAGTCTTCCAGTTGTAACTCCCATTATATAACATAGTCTTCCAGTCATAACTCCCATTATATAACACAGTCTTCCAGTGGTAACTCCCTTTATATAACACAGTCTTCCAGTGATAACTCCCATTATATAACACAGTCTTCCAGTTGTAACTCCCATTATATAACATAGTCTTCCAGTTGTAACTCCCATTATATAACACAGTCTTCCAGTCATAACTCCCATTATATAACATAGTCTTCCAGAGGTAACTCCCTTTATATAACAGTCTTCCAGTGGTAACTCCCTTTATATAACATAGTCTTCCAGTCATAACTCCCATTATATAACTTAGTCTTCCAGTTGTAACTCCCATTATATAACATAGTCTTCTAGTTGTAACTCCCATTATATAACTTAGTCTTCCAGTTGTAACTCCCTTTATATAACATAGTCTTCCAGTGATAACTCCCATTATATAACACAGTCTTCCAGTTGTAACTCCCATTATATAACATAGTCTTCCAGTTGTAACTCCCATTATATAACACAGTCTTCCAGTCATAACTCCCATTATATAACATAGTCTTCCAGAGGTAACTCCCTTTATATAACAGTCTTCCAGTGGTAACTCCCTTTATATAACATAGTCTTCCAGTCATAACTCCCATTATATAACTTAGTCTTCCAGTTGTAACTCCCATTATATAACATAGTCTTCTAGTTGTAACTCCCATTATATAACTTAGTCTTCCAGTTGTAACTCCCATTATATAACACATTCTTCCAGTTGTAACTCCCATTATATAACATAGTCTTCCAGTTGTAACTCCCTTTATATAACATAGTCTTCCAGTGATAACTCCCATTATATAACTTAGTCTTCCAGTCATAACTCCCATTATATAACACAGTCTTCCAGTCATAACTCCCATTGTTTATGCACACAACTGGAAATGTCATATTGGCGGGGGATGTGAGTATTTCATGCTTGTTCTTCATTAAGACTAGACTTGATTCATTGCACACAACCAGACATGTCATATTGGCGGGGGATATGAGTATTTCATGCTTGTTCTTGGTTAAGACTTGACTTGGTTCATTGGGAGCTACTGAGGAAGCTTGCACTGTCTCCGTGTTACAGGGAGACTGGCCTGAAGATGTCTGGTGTGAGGCGGGTGTGGGGGAAGGAGGGGTACCTGGGGGCTGACCACGCCCGCAGTGCCAGACCACAGCCAGGAGAACAGGGAGTACAGGTAACAATAGCCTGTGTCTCCCTCCCCTCTGTCCCTGTCTGCTTCACAAACAGGATTCACTTTGTGCTGTAGCATGTGTGTGATTGAGTGTTACACAGTCACTGATGGAGATTTGTTGTCTTTATTTGTAAAATGCTAAGAGTACAATTTGAAAAGTAATAATGTGTTTTGCATTCCTTTAATTTTCTGAACTTTATGTTTTTCCTCAACCTATATCGTTGACATCACAGCAGTGATAAACTGGAGACGATGTATCCGTGTATACACACATACATTCAATGCAGCCAGTGTCTTCATAGAAAATATACACATGCACAAAAGTTAAGCGCCACCATATTCAGAGTCTCTTGATTTCACGTGTGGGAATCAGAAATACGAAATATGATGATGTATGACTGAATTAGGCTTCGATAGTTTCATGAACCCAAATTTGTCCAGATACCACAAGGAAAGTGTGCTTTACGTGTTGCTGCAGTTCCCCTACTCTATAAATAGTGAAATTCAAGTTTCAGACACGTGGTTGCATTTTGCTCCTGTGTGAGATTCCCCTTCCAATAGAGGTTGAAAATCAGCCATGGTGAGGGGAAAGTTAACGAACGCTGAAAGATGGCAAGTGATAGGCATGAAAAGTGCTGGCATGTCATGCAGGGCCATTGCAAGACAAATGGGTTGTCATCACAGTGTTATCACTCGTTTGATTGTCAAACATGGTCAAACCAATCATGTCATTGACAGGCATAGGTCTGGTAGGCCAAGAAAGACCTCTAACAGAGAGGATAGACTTCTTTTCAGGATAGTCAGACGAAATCCATTTGCCACTTCAACAGATTTAAGACTGCAGTGGATTACCCATCAGAGACTCTTGACGATGACCCTAAGGCGTCGCCTCAGAGCGGCTGGTTATAACGCCAGAAGACCAGTAAAACGTCCTCAACTGACTGAGAGGCACATGTGGAATCCTCTGATATGGTGTCGCGCCCGTGGTCGATGGAACTTGGCCAACTGGAGAAGGATCCATTGGTCTGGCGAGTGTCGAATGCTGCTATGAACTGTTGATGGTCGAATTCGTGTTTGGAGGCAACTTAACACTCGTTTTGCACCAAGGAACATCCAGAAGACCTTAGCATATGGCGGAGGGGTCTGTTATGATATGGGGTTGTGTTTCCCTCGGCTGCAAACTTCCGCTTGTGACAATGCGTGGAAACCTGAATGGCCAACAATACCAAGATGCCGTTCTTCGTCCCTCATTTTGACAACCATCCTCTTCAGACAAGACCTTGTTTACATGGACGACAATGCTAGACCACACAGATCTCGGGCAGTTTGGGCTTACTGCGTCAAGAAGCTATTGCCACTCTTCCTTGGAAGGCCTGTAGTCCGTATCTTAATCCGATTGAGCATCTCTGGGACGTTCTTGGCTGGAAAATCAGACATCGTGATCCCCCAGTTCAAAATCTAGCTGGACTTGAAGCCGCACTTCATGAAGAATGGATCCTTTTGCCTCAGAGAAGCATTCAACGACTTGAGTATGAGGTGTAGGGTTGAAGCTGTGGTCAATGTCTGTGGATCATACACACATTACTGACATTTCTGTCTTGCAATAGACTCTGCACTCCCTAGGGTGTCTGATATGGTCTGCTGATATCATGACAGTTACATGACAAAAAAAGTTTTTCAATGTTTTCTAACCCTTCAATTTCTGGTCTTCCGTAAAATTCCTGCTCATATTCTTTTGGAACACAAGATAGACTTGCTTTGGGACAATTTTTGCATCACATGAGGTTTACATATATGGCTTATAACAATTGTACATCTCGTTATAATAGTCATCATTAAGTGCCAAAACTAACAGCTCACAAATATGGTTGATGGCGCTTAACTTTTGTGCATGTGTATACTTAAAACATGGATGAAAACAAATAACTTTCCCTGCAGGACATAGTATATGAGATATGAGATATGTAAATCTGGAAAGTTTTGCAAGCAGGAAGGCACCATGGAAACTCTTGAGTGACACGTACTCGCAATAGTTTCATGACACAGTTATTTTTGCAGACCAACAACAAACAAAAGACATAAGGAAGCATATTTCTTTAATTCGCTTTTACACATTTACAAATAAATAATCCCTTACATTCTGTATTTCTCTAATTACACATTCAAGTCTTTGAAGGACATTTAGAAGTGATACAAACAAGGAAAAGAATTAATAGATGTCAACTTTATTATGAGGAATGTACTCCTTCATTTGGGGAATAAATGTTATGAAGCAAAGAACATATATAAATGTACCTGTAAGAACTGCAAAAGTAATAAGATAACAAACGAAACTTTGGAAACTAAACGAGAAGCCAACAGTTAATTGGCACTGAGATATATTGATTTATTCAATCACTGTGATATGTTCCCCCCTCTTCTGCACAACAAAGCCTGCACTATATGCACAAGACAATATGTCGGTGTTAAGATGAAAGGGGAGTCAGCCATCCAAGACGACTTCTCCTGTGGCACTTGAAAGTGAATCTAGAGACCCCATAAAACTTTAACTCACACATAACGGTTTAGGACAAGGCCCTGTTGCCTTAAATAGTCTATTTGGGGAAGAAGACTTGACAGCCTACTGGTACAAAGATGTCCATGAAGGCTGCCACGACCTCCCTGCAGCTCCAGTCGCTAGTGAACCTTTCACAGGTTTCACACAAGCAGACCTGCATGCAGGACCAGGCCTTCATGCAGCCCTAGAGGTTTGCGCAGCCTCAGACCTTCTCTCAACCCCTGCAGTTCACACAACCCACAGCATTCATGCAGGCCTCGACATTTACACAGGCACAGTCATTTGCACAACCTCCTACGTTCACAAAGCCTGCCTTTCATCAGCAAAGTAACATACCTCCTTCGTCCGATGACCTAGTAGCTGTGCAGCAACATCACACACTCAGCAAACCACCTACACTGTCTACGACATCTACTTATGTCCCTGACGACGTGTCTCCATCCTCTGACCATTCTGCTGCGGCTCCAAACCCTCAGGAAGAGGATATATTTGAGCCTTCGTTTGCTGTTACATCTTCATGTCAAGAGGAAATACCTTCTATCTACGCCGACAAGGAGTAGCTGATACATCCTCACGTCATGAGGAAATGCCCTCTATCTACACTGAGCAGGAGTTGCTGATACATCCTCATGTCATGAGGAATTACCTTCTATCTGTACTGACCAAGAGGTGTTGATACCTCCTCACATCATGAGGAAATACCTTCTATCCACACCGACCAGGAGTGCTGATACATCCTCATGTCATGAGGAAATGCCCTCTATCTACACTGAGCAGGAGTTGCTGATACATCCTCATGTCATGAGGAATTACCTTCTATCTGTACTGACCAAGAGGTGTTGATACCTCCTCACATCATGAGGAAATACCTTCTATCCACACCGACCAGGAGTGCTGATACATCCTCATGTCATGAGGAAATGCCCTCTATCTACACTGAGCAGGAGTTGCTGATACATCCTCATGTCATGAGGAATTACCTTCTATCTGTACTGACCAAGAGGTGCTGATACATCCTCATGTCATGAGGAATTACCTTCTATCTGTACTGACCAAGAGGTGCTGATACATCCTCATGTCATGAGGAATTACCTTCTATCTGTACTGACCAAGAGTTGCTGATACATCCTCATGTCATGAGGAATTACCTTCTATCTGTACTGACCAAGAGGTGCTGATACATCCTCATGTCATGAGGAAATACCTTCTATCTGTACTGACGAAGAGGTGCTGATACATCCTCACATCATGAGGAAATACCTTCTATCTGTACTGACCAAGAGTTGCTGATACATCCTCATGTCATGAGGAATTACCTTCTATCTGTACTGACGAAGAGGTGCTGATACATCCTCACATCATGAGGAAATACCTTCTATCTGTACTGACCAAGAGGTGCTGATACATCCTCATGTCATGAGGAATTACCTTCTATCTGTACTGACCAAGAGGTGCTGATACATCCTCATGTCATGAGGAATTACCTTCTATCTGTACTGACCAAGAGTTGCTGATACATCCTCATGTCATGAGGAATTACCTTCTATCTGTACTGACCAAGAGGTGCTGATACATCCTCATGTCATGAGGAAATACCTTCTATCTGTACTGACGAAGAGGTGCTGATACATCCTCACATCATGAGGAAATACCTTCTATCTGTACTGACCAAGAGGTGCTGATACATCCTCATGTCATGAGGAATTACCTTCTATCTGTACTGACCAAGAGGTGCTGATACATCCTCACATCATGAGGAAATACCTTCTATCTGTACTGACCAAGAGGTGCTGATACATCCTCATGTCATGAGGAATTACCTTCTATCTGTACTGACGAAGAGGTGCTGATACATCCTCACATCATGAGGAAATACCTTCTATCTGTACTGACCAAGAGGTGCTGATACATCCTCACATCATGAGGAAATACCTTCTATCTGTACTGACCAAGAGTTGCTGATACATCCTCATGTCATGAGGAAATACCTTCTATCTGTACTGACCAAGAGGTGCTGATACATCCTCACATCATGAGGAAATACCTTCTATCTGTACTGACCAAGAGGTGCTGATACATCCTCACATCATGAGGAAATACCTTCTATCTGTACTGACCAAGAGTTGCTGATACATCCTCATGTCATGAGGAATTACCTTCTATCTGTACTGACCAAGAGTTGCTGATACATCCTCACATCATGAGGAAATACCTTCTATCTGTACTGACGAAGAGGTGCTGATACATCCTCACATCATGAGGAAATACCTTCTATCTGTACTGACCAAGAGTTGCTGATACATCCTCATGTCATGAGGAAATACCTTCTATCTGTACTGAGCAAGAGGTGCTGATACATCCTCACATCATGAGGAAATACCTTCTATCTGTACTGACCAAGAGGTGTTGATACATCCTCACATCATGAGGAAATACCTTCTATCTG